GGTTAGAATTAATTAAATGTATCTAAACTAGCCGTAGGACAACTAAAAAACACCAGATACACGAAGCCCACCAGCCGGCAACTACCTTGCGCACACAGTTGGCTACCTCGAAAGAAAAGGTGTTGTCTACGAAATCCCATGTTCCAGTTGTGAGGCCGCCTATTGTGGCCAAACTGGGAAATATGTCTCAACCCGCGTACACGAACATCAATTAGCGGTGAAGAGACGCGACCATTTATCCCAGGTGGCCATGCACACACTGGACACTGTACACAAATTTTCATGGGAGAACACTCGCATTATTAGCACCTGCCTAATAAGGAAAGGCCGCGAATTCCTGGAGGTAATGCACCCTGATAAGGCTTGCACCAACTGACACGTCGATCTAGATGCCACATAACAAATCGTTAATGACGAATTCAAACTGGCCCAATCAATCCCGAGGGATGACGAATTGCTATTTACACGTTTTGGCTCAGACTTAAGCCAATGATAGAATTCTTTGCCAGACCCAGTTTAGATATTAATTTTTTTGCATTCCCATAGTCTGAAGACGAGCTGGGGAACCAGACTCGAAAATTTACACAATAAAGTTTACTGTTTTCCAAAGAACTCTATCCTTCTAATGTGTATATGTATATATGTGTGCATGAATTGGAGGGCAGGCATCCCAAGCAAAATAATTGCAGGTCACATACGTTCTCTGGGAAAAGTGGGAAATTTTATTGGGACGTTTCGGCCCTAGAGTTGAACCCAAGGTTTAGTGGATCACATTTATGCGATTTGGACTCCAATCGTATTAATCCGGTCCATACTACAGACATCACATTATCTAAGACTAACAAATGAAATACTAAATAGGTGTAAGGCACTCGGCAGCTGGCAGAGCAGCACTTAGTGAGACACTATTGAGTCCTATAGCTGCACGTAAACTGCAGACATGCATTCAACAGACGCTCCCATCAGTCAATATTGAAGGGGCAGAGATAGATATCCAGAACAAACTAACTAAAGGGAATGTGACCTAGGCACTAAAGTAGGTGAAATGCTAGTCAAGTATTCAAATCCGAAGTCTATAAATGATACCGAACATCACCTGTGCGACGGAGCTTTGAGACTTAAAAATTCTCTCTTAACACCTAACGCCGATGATAACAAATGCCGTCAAGCTTCTTTGAGAAAATCAGACAAAACAAACGGTTTTGATAATGCCGATAGAAAGGAGACATCCCTCAGATAAAACAATTAGTAATAGCTTCAAGTAGTCGAATTTCCAAGCATGACAACTTTCTTAGTGCAGACAGCCTTTATCGCAAATTCGAGTTCCGATATGTGCAGCGTTCTCCAATTAGTCATGAGGCACATTTTTCGCCCCAATAGGAGGGGTGCTTGCCCTCAGACAGATGCATTTTCTGTCCGACGTCAGATTGTGCAGAAAACTTGATGGAGGCGTAGCCACGTGAAACAACGACAATTATGCTAAATGAAACTCAGCCCCCGAACCCTATCAGTATTTGTCACCGTGAGGTATCACGAGTACAACTCACGTGGAATTGACGCTCACCGATTGGAGGGCTGAAGGCCGCTTCTCTGTTTTTGTCTTAGAGGGTACGAGATCTACAGCCCACGCAGGCGGTCAAATTAAAAGGCGACAAACAGATCGGAAACTTCAATACCGTGTGACGGCGGACAAAAAATAGCGCCTGAGACGTTATGAAACTGCCTCACGCTCACTGGTCGCCCATCCGACAACTCCCCTTGAAGGAATTCCCGAATCGAAACCCAACAGCAGCGACAAAAGAAAGAAGGTGTTTTTACGTATTCTAATAGCGCAGATTGAGTTAGAGAGGAAGAAACGGCAATACCCACGGTCGGGCTGAAATTTGACCAGTTAGATTGTGCCCTTGCCTGGCAAGTAGGACGCCCGGCCGTCTGGCGCATCTGACCGGTTGGATAAACCTCCAATCCTCTCGCGGGTCATCAGGGCGGCATCCTAACGCGCTTGGTTTTCATGAAGTAGCAAGAACAGCATACACTACGAGAGCAATAACCCAATCTCTCACAAACGGAGCACTGTCAACAGCTTGCTTCACCGAGAAAAAACACACTGTTCCGACGAAGAAAGCTACAGAGTAGAACAGTACTATCTGTTTGAAGTATTTTCCGAGAATGGTTGCCCTAGGGGTTTCGTGCGTCGATGCATGAGAAAAACAAGAGTCAAAAGAGAAGGAACTAGATAGTTCCAAGCCGACGCCCAGAGCAAATACATAAAGAACCCTCCCTTACATCAAAAGTGTGTCTGAACTCGTTGAAGGACACCTGAGAAAACAACAAATGCAAGTGGTGCACAGACCCAGAGACCACTTTAAACAGTTAACTTATATACCCCATGGATATGGTTGGCTATTTGCAGAAGAAGGAAGTCGTCTACAAGATCCCAAGTGAGACATGAGATGCCGTATATTGTGGCTAAACTGGAATGTTCGCCTCCACACGCATCCAAGAACACCAATAAGCTGTTAAGAGGTGAGGCCACCTATCTTAAATGACCATGCACGCATTGGATATCGGGCAGGCTTTTGCATTGGACAAGACTCGCATCATCGACGTCTGGCCTACAAAAAAGGCGAGAATTTCTGGAAACCATGCATTTATATGAGTCATGCATTACTCGGTATATTGAGTTAGACGCCATGTACAAAATTCTCAAGGAGAAGTAGATGAGACGAAAACCAATCGATACACAATGGCGTACGCGACGGACGTTTATTGCAGAATCGCCGGAGCGGTTTATTTTCTGGACACGTTTGAAATTTTGACTATTTTGTACATCTACCTGACGCCAGCTCTCAAGTTACGGCTCATTCGACGAGATCCGGCCACACATTCATATTCGACGAGGTCGAAATTCTCACAAGAGGTGACAACCATGTGAGCCGGGAGCTGCTTGAGTCATGATTTACTGGTCCCAGCCCATTAGCAGGTGCAATGAGCTTCCCCTTCCATACTCAGTGCTGAGACTTCGCCTAGGCGGTGTAATTAGCCAAGCGGGGAGCGCACAGGTGAACACTTTTCCCAACGCCAGGATCGGTGGGTCAGATGGTCGAGCAATCATCATACCAACATCCAAAGTACGTGATGAAATTGCAGCAATTAACGACGCGAATGTCGGCCATCACACCACGTGCAACGATCCCTGACGAAGGGTGGAGCCTTGAGTATTTATAGGTATGCGGTAGCGTCGCTACTGCATCCTATAAATATTGCAGCCCCTTATGCATGAACCACCCGCATCTGCCTTTGTCTCTGATGATGGGTTCGAGCAGGAATCCAAAACGTCAGGCTAATAAAGCTCTTGTCCCCGCGACCGTGTCTCCTTCTTCAAGACTGCTTCCTGAGACTCGTCTCTTTGCTTCTACTAGACCGTAGTCACTACTACCCTTAGATCCGTTCCCGAATATAAAGAAGTAAAGTTGAGTGTCAATAAGGATTGAGCACTGTATTCTATACATAATGAATGGGGAATACGTCGGAGCATGCTGGCAGCCGGGGCAGGCATAGAAGCGCCTTAAGCAAGAGCATTTCTGCATCGCCCCGAAGCTGAGTGGCCGGTTTAGATGGCTGTGACTGGCCGATAACCCGACTGTCATTGGTGCGCTCGAGTGGCGCAATGCTGCAACAGGCACCTGAAGTAGGGTCGCTGTACCATGCCTAGTCCTGCGCTAGATGTAACTGTGGTGAAGTTTGTACAACCGGTACATAGCGTGCTATAAACGCTAAACAGTACGGACAAATTCAAGCGACGCCGAAATGGCCGTTTATTGGCGTAGTAGTCATCACCAATCAGCCATATCCAAGCCGATGCTGGATAAGCGCAGAATTTGAGTCCGGTTACATGTAATTTTTGAGTCTAACGTTATCGTAGTTGATGCACTGCTTCATGCTCTGTCGGACGCTGTTAAGAACATTCAAAGGTATATGACAGGATATAAGTTGCCTGCAACACGTCCTGATTGGCAATCGCTTCTTCCATTTCTCCTTCAGATTGTTTTAAATTGCAGAATTGCATCTCCAAGGCAAAACAGCAGGCTCTGCAACCAACTAATCTAAATTTTCAGACTGCTCTTTTCCCCTAAATGTTTTTCAAAGGCACCTTATCGAGTTGGTTGTGGTCCTCCAGTAGGTTCACAAATTGTGCTTACCAGTCCTGGCTTAACTTCGATACCGCTGACAGCAAAAAGTATCATAACCGCAACTAGATAAGTTAACGATGCAGAGATCTACAATCAACCAAAATCGGGATGCGACATGCGTGTATGACCGGGTGCAACTGAAGCCGAACTAGGGGCTTTTGCCAAGGTTTGACACTGTCATATCTGGGATTCTCTAGCCACAAAACAGGTTTCTTTTTAAAGGCGAAGAGTTGGCCTGGGACATCCGGAGCAGTGTTGTCTGCTGCTGCTGCTGCCGCTGCTGCTGCTGCTGCTGCTGCTGCTGCTGCTGCTGCTGCGGCTGCTGCTGCTGCTGCTGCTGCTGCTGCTGCTGCTGCTGCTGCTGCTGCTGCTGCTGCTGCTGCTGCTGCTGCTGCTGCTGCTGCTGCTGCTGCTGCTGCTGCTGCTGCTGCTG